GAAGAATTGCCAACTTTTACTTCCTTATTATATTTTTGGTGCAGGTAATAGTGGACACGCCCACCAGCCCTGTTACCAGTGGCTTGCCCCTGTTTTTTTTGATCACGGTTACTGCCATCAAACAGGGGTACGAGGACTGGCTCCGTCACAAGGCTGACAATGAAGTGAATAAATACCTGGTGACAGTGGTAGAGGATGGCCAGAGAGTGCGCAAGGAGAGCGAGAAGATCAAGGTATCTGTAAAGGAAGAATGCAGGGCGGTCTGCACGTGTCACTGAGGGTTGGGGACCTGCCCGTCCAGATTATATAGGATGGGCAGTCAGTGTAGGTAATCTCAAAATTATTTGGGAGGTAACTTTTTCCCCCGCTGTCTTAAATATTTTTGGTTTGTTTTACTACTGTACCTGCAAACCTGCCCCTTGAACAAAGTAAAACCATCATTTCAAATTACAATACTTTTAACCTGTAGGCTGTTCAGCAATGTTTCAAATCAACATAAGTACCAATTATTCTTTGCCTTTATCAGCTACCCTGTGAGATACGTACTTAACGGTTTGATTTTAGTTGTGGATTTAGTCTGTGAAACGTCTCGACCAAAGCTGTCACGTTGCGTATTACAACGAGGAAGTAATACTGTTATTTCTTTTCAGTCTTTTAACCCTAATTTTAACACACAAAAAAAATATCAATTTAAATGGTATTGTGTCATCCCGTATCTCGTTTTGAAAATATATCGATGTACCATGAAAATTCAGTAGTGCCCAGTCCTAAGAGACTGTAAAAGTTGTTGTTGGTGGGAGGCGAAGCCGTGGGTAAGCAGACGATCCGTAGCTGCAGCCCTGCGAGAGATCGGCTTATTTGCTTTTGGATGAAAGCCTTTATTTAAAAATAAAATTGGCCGTGTTACATAGTAGTACGTAGTTAGTTACATAAAGTTATGTACGTACATAGTGTGATAAACAGTGCTATTTGTATGAGTGTGCGTTTGAGACGGAAATGAAATTAAATGAATATAAATAAAATGATAACATACATTTTTAAAATAGATTTTTTAAATAATTTTGAGCACAAATTTTGCCCCTTAGTCATGGTTTTTAGGGACATTCTGAGACTTCATGCCATCCAGACTTGCACTTCAGTTGAATAGTGCAGGAAATAATCCGTTGAATAAATGAGTTTTATTGTCTCCTGGGCAAGTAGATGATGCCATTTAAATATCATTGAGGACGAAGATGATTGTAATTCTGTAACTGACAATGACAATCGGCCTCCACATTCACGCGGAGGTGAAGTGTGTGTGTGTGTGCGCGTGTGTGTGTGCGCGTGTGTGTGTGTGTGCGTGTGCGTGTGTGTGCGTGTGTGTGTGCGTGTGCGTGTGCGTGTGCGTGTGTGTGTGTGTGTGTGTGTGTGTGTGCGCGCGCACCACAGACACTTTCTGTGATTTCAGAAGAGGAAGGCTGATGCAGCCTTCTTTAGTTGATATGAACACAAGTACATGAATATATTGCTTGAACAAATAAGATTTGTGGCAACAAAAAAATTTGAGCGACACCCGTAAATTGCTCCTCACAAGTGAGTCATCAAATACCCCATGACGGGGGTTAGCGCTGAGGGCCTTTTCCAGGTGCCCAGCAGCAACATGATTGCTCTGCCAGCCACAGGATTTGAACACACAACCCTCTGGGCGTGGGCACGGATCCCAAACCAGCTGAGCAGCTCGCTGCCCTCACTGTTATTTATACAGCGTAGCCCCGATTTGACACTTGGCCGTGTCTGACTGACCTCTCATAGGCCACACCAAGATATTGTAAGCAAGATTTTGACTGGTAAATGTCCTTGTGCATTAGCCTAGGCCCCTAAGCACAGCCTTGGTGTTTGCAACACTTTTGTCTGCAGGTCGGTGACATTGTTGAGGTACTTGAGGACCTCATCCTGTTGCAGTCCAGCCGCGATGATGACACCTGCTTTGTCACCACGGCCAGCCTGGACGGGGAGTCCAATCACAAGGTGCGAGGCTCACCATGTGACCTTTATTTCCACTGTAGTTTTTTTTTTCCCTATCTACTTGCTTTCTACCTATCACTGCTGCACAGTTCATCGTCCCATATTTTGACCTGCATGTGCCACGTCCTGCACACATGAGAACGAGACCTAGATCCCAGTCACTCTTTCACAATCCCCCTCTTTCTCTAGACACACTATACGGTGCCTGATACAGAGAAGGAGGTGGAATTGCTGAATGCGACCATTGAATGCGAACAACCGCAACCTGACCTCTACAAGTGAGTTGCTTCCGTGCACATTTGGTATTTGCCTATATGTGTGGCCGTCTCAGCATGTGAGTGCAACGGAGTGCCGTCCTATTGTTCATGTCAATGTTTACTGCCGCTACTAAGTAGCAACATTGTTTTGGCGCCACCTGCTGCTCAACTGTGCTAATTACATCTGAGAATTTTGTCAGTCTTTGACCAAAGGTGTTGCTAGGGCTGTTTTAGGTGGGCTTTAGAGTTCTGCTCTGTATATCCTCCCCCCCCCCCCCACAAGAGTCAAATAGTAAGTCCTGCAATAGGTTCAGTGAAATGGACTTATAGGAGATGTGTGTATATTAACATTCACATGGCCTTCATTTTCATTATTGGTGGTATTTTGATCAGTCAGTTCAGTGAGCCGTGTTGTTCGCATGCAGGTTCGTAGGCCGTATGCAAATCCACAAGGACAGCCAGGACGCTATGCGGTGAGTCCTACAGCCTCGCGCCGTCCGAACATCCGGCAAGTGCCGCACAGCTGGAGCTCTTTAACCCGCCTGCGTCTCTTTGGACCTCCTGTGATCTATCGCTTCAGACGAGTCCCACAGAAAGCTGGCGTCAGTCCCGGGGCAGCTTAGGGAAGCAGTTCTGAGTGCTGATGGTCATTGGGTCCATAAAATCCAGCACTAGCTGCTTCTCTGGAATGCAGGAGAAGCTTGGAGATTAATTATTGATTTCTAGCTGCTTCCACACCTCCTTGTGGAAAATTAATATTAAGAGCTCAGTTTTTTTCCATACATTACATGTCTTGTAGGCTGGAAAAGATATACAATCTCTCTATTCTTTGTTTTTTTTTTTTTTGTTTTTTTCCAGGTCTCTGGGCCCAGAAAACTTGCTATTAAAAGGAGCTACTCTGAAAAACACAAAGAAGATATATGGTCAGTACTGTTCGTATTAGATTTTTTTATTGGAGTAGAAGATAATGAATTGCGTTCTTTGTGTGACCTTGCATAACTCAGCAGACACAGTGTTTCTAATGGCCTTCCTTATTGTTACCAGGGGTGGCTGTTTACACTGGCATGGAGACTAAGATGGCCCTGAATTACCAGGGCAAATCGCAGAAACGCTCTGCTGTGGAGAAGTAAGTGAACAGAATGTTAGAAATCAGGGTCATATCACTGTATAGCTGGGTGCAGTTAATGCCATTATGACAAAAGGTGATGGAGCTTTTAGAAGGAAGGATATGGTGAAAGGTTTATGCTCTTTGTTCTAGTTAATTCTCCAATCCCATTCTCCAATGAATTCCTATTCTCCAATGAGAAAATCCTCCAGACACGTCGTATAGAGTGGCACTTTGGTATGAAAACAAGGGATGTGATACGGTTTACATTTATATGTGTTCTCCGTGTGTGTGGTACACTTACAGTGAGGGATGGTGACAGTGTTTCACATGGAAATGTGTACTCTGTGTGTGTTATTGTCACAGTGAGGGATGGTGACAGTGTTTCACATGGAAATGTGTACTCTGTGTGTGTTATTGTCACAGTGAGGGATGGTGACAGTGTTTCACATGGAAATGTGTACTCTGTGTGTGTTATTGTCACAGTGAGGGATGGTTATAGTATAGCTATGCCGAGATGGATCATATTGGGTCATGGATCATACTCTTATGTCCCAATATCCTTTTCCTGACCCTTTGTTTGTGTGTGCGCCTGTATCTCTGTTCCAGGTCGATCAACGCCTTCCTCATCGTGTACCTGTTCCTGCTTGTTGGCAAGGCTCTGGTGTGCACCACTCTGAAGTATGTATGGCAGAGCCGGCCTGGGCATGGATGAACCCTGGTACAACCCCAAAACCGTGAAAGAGAGAGAGTCCAACCTGGTGAGATCCGAACGCTGGGAGATGCTTCCAGGAATGCCTGAATGAATGTATCGTTTTTTGTTTTTTTTTTTTACTCTTAAGTTCTCTCTGAACTGCATTTTACAAATATTTTGCATTTACAGTATTACAGTTAGCTTTACAATGTGTGCAAGATGAATTATTTTCTCCAGGGAAAATTCAGACAATATTAGGCAGCTGCCGTCCTAAACGGACTGAATTGAACTGGCCTGTATTGGTCTGACATCAGCATTAATTAAGCACGATGACGGCCTGCCAAGTGTTTTTTTTCCTCTTTATACTCTTCGCTGTATCAGATATTCTGTGTTTAATAAATTATGGCTTAAGGAAGACAAAATTTTTTTTATGGTATCACTGCCCCATTTATTTCAAATGACATGGTTAAGATGACATTTTGTTGTCAGATTATTGTACATTCTCCCCGTGACTGAGGTGTTCTGCCGTTATTACAGTATCTGAAGATGTTCACGGACTTCCTCTCCTTTATGGTACTCTTCAACTTCATCATCCCCGTGTCCATGTACGTCACAGTGGAAATGCAAAAGTTCCTGGGCTCCTTCTTTATCACCTGGGACAAGGACTTCTTTGACACCGAGATCCAGGAAGGGGCCCTGGTCAACACCTCAGACCTGAACGAGGAGCTCGGGCAGGTGAGAGAGATGGCGCCGGAGGGAGGTTTACGCAGTCGGGATGCTTACCGGTGTAGCTCTGGCTACGCACCATGTTACCATTCCCCCAGGAGCACTGTACGACATACAAACAGCAGGTGGCAAGGGGGGAGGGGGGCTTATGATAGTTGAAAGTGCAAAAGCACAGAGCAGTGTGAAACAGGGGGATAGACTCAAGGGTGTTTATGTGTAGTGTACTGTATGTAAACAATGATAATAAATAGCAGCATAAACAGTGGAATAAATATAGTATTACTTGACTGACAATAAATAGATAATATTAAGGTAAAGTGACCTGTTCTAGTAGGTGAGGGGTGTGTGTGTATTTTTAGCTATGGGTAGGTGGCAGGGGGGTTGGGGGGTGCAGCAGGGTGTTGAGTGTCCTGACAGCCTCGGGTACGATGGTGTTGCTCCTGTACCAGCCAGACAGGAGCAGGACAAAGAGTCTGTGGGAAGGGTGGGAGGGGCCTTTCACGATACTGGAGGCTTTCTGGGTGTAGTATTTGTGGAAAATGTCCTTGATGCTCTGTCCACCACAGAGATCCGCAATTCACAAAGTAAGCACCGATGTAGCTAGTGAGAGGGCCCCTGTCGCACATGGAGATGCCAGTGTGCATCATTGGAGAAGCATAGGGCACGAGGCGGCTGAACACCATGGGCGGAATGCATGGGGGACACTGTCACACACTGTGCACGATGCAGAGATGCCAGTAGATGGGGCACACTGTCACGCACTGTGCTCGATGCAGAGATGCCAGTAGATGGGGCACACTGTCA